TAACAAACAAGAGCTCCCTCCTAAATGTTAGCATACCAATAGATCAGGAGGGTAAGATACATTTAAATTAACATCTCTCCCTACCTGAAGTAATCAGCATTTTTAATTATGTAGCATCACCTGATCATAATTATTACTCTAGCAAGTTGTCCACCTTCCTCTGCCGATACTGCACGTAGTTGCCATTGCTCAAGCCAGGTCAGAACACGCTCTCACTGGTCAAGAGAAGTTCCCATTCCCAGCATAGGCACGCATCCTTCATACCAAGAGGCAAAGCCTCTCTCCCTTCTGAGTGCATTTGTGGCAAACCCTCATGGAGAACAGCCAGACACAGACTTCGCACAGGTCACAACTCCCTCGGCACTTGGCCGAGCGGGGGAATTAACACCATGTAGGGGTGCAAACATGCAGATTGCTGGAGCGGCTCCATGCCCCAGCAGTCCTCACCGTGTCCCTCCTGGTCACACATCCCTGCTGTTACCTCTACATGCTTGCAGACCCCTATCTGCAAAACACTGCAACTCATTAACCTACAAGAAGCCAACAGCGAGACAGGTCAGTGGATGAAGATGGGAGCTGGCAGAGGGAGAGGAGCACACAGCCCGGGGCATGAGCAAACTGGTAGGATCCACTCAGCTGCTGGGAATCCGCAGCCCCACCCCAATCCGTTTCCACTGCCCCCGGGGATGTCCACACCAGGGCTGGGGTGAACGTCTGCACGCTGTGAGGCCATCCCACAGCACGCTGAGCAGCAGCACCCCCGCACCAGCAACCTCCTGTTCGAGTCCAGGGGACACGCGTGAATTCCCTCCACGTTTCCTCACCCAGCAGGCAAGCTACAGAGGCGAGTTCATATGTGAAATGCTCAGGCAGTGCGTGGTAAACAACCTCGGCTCTCCAGCACCACCTTTTCCCAGGTCTGTTCCACAGGCTTCCTTCGTATCTCCAAGGGACACCAGCCCACACTTGCTTCATGTGCAGCTCGGTCTCAACACACTCCACAGTTCAAAGCTTAGGAGGGACTTTTTCAAGTATGTGACACTTAAGGCCTATAACAAAACCTATTCTGAATGGGAGCACTGACCCTCACCCTCTCTTGCTCCAGCAGACTTCCTTCCAAAAAAAACCTTCCCCTCAAGACCACTCTTCCTATAGACAGCCTCCCCATGGTGCTGTCTCCTCATGAGGCTTCTTCAGGATGGGATGGCATCCTGCCATTCACACCCACAGTGTCATCAAGAGATTGGAAAGACAAAAAAAAAAAAAACAAAAAAAACAAACAACAATCCACAGAATAATTTTTACTTTTCAGTGTGAGGAAAATGAGGGAAAAAGTGTTGATTCTCTCAGAGCCATGCAGCGAGAAGATCACTCTTAGTTTTTACAGGTGGAGGAGAGAACTTTAAGTAATGTAATCTTCCTCAAAGGAAAAATATTTCAATGCACAGAAGAAACTGCAGAAAAAGGTAGGCATCTCTCCCTTCTGGTATGTAGTGGTTACGCCCAGATAGTGAGACAGTTTGAGTCACATTTCTGGGATGACTAAAAGAAAGCGCTTGCATTTCAGAAGCACAATGGTCAAAACCCCCAGGAGCTACATGCGCTGAAGAAAGAAATCAGAAAATCATTTCTGCAAATGGCAGAAGAGAAATGGAGACCAGCCGAGGTGCAAAACACCACATAACCTTGTGTTTCTCTCAAAACACACAATTGCAAAACAACACTATGACTCTTCACTATTATTCTTCCTTAAGTTTAGGCATAGCCTTTTCACACAAGGAAACTCCATGGACACACGAAGGCAGCCTTCCAGATTTTACTGACACCCCACCCAAGCTGAACGGGCTTTCAGTAAATCGTCCGCCAAAGAAGAGTGCGTTGAAGAGCAATGCTTTAGAGATCTCCCTCCCACAGTCCAGTTCTCAGCCATCATCTGGGAAGCATACACCACATCCGCATGTGGCCTTCCACCTCAGCACCCACCCACACAACCCGGGGCAGTGCAGGCACAGCCCGCTCCTGGCCCTGCTTACAGCCAGTCCCTCCTGCCCCAGCTTACTGCAGGAGAAACAGTTCAGAAATGAGGTAAGATTTATTGTACCAAAAAGAAAGGGGAAGAAAGAAACACTCCCTCCCCAAACACATGCCCCTCTTCCATGAATCCTCTGACTTTCTGCCAAGTTCAAGCCTCCTCTCAACTAGCAAGGCCCGTCTTGTCAACAGAAACCCAGAGGGGAACTTGTAACTCGTGGAAATCTCAGAAGAGACCAAGGCAGTTCCACAGTACTTGACCACACACCAAGGCTCACTCTCCTCCATATCCTCCTTTCATGTCCTAACAGATGTCTGCTTGAACAACAAGCTCATTTTGAATACTCTTTCCCCCACAGAAGTTTTCATCCCAGTCTCTCTTGCTTTAACATAAAGAATCTTAAACACCGCTGTGCCACAGGAAAAATCATTACAATATGAACTTATAATACCGAGGCAGTAGTGCATCTTAAAGGTTTTCAAATTCCTGCCTTCTCTGACCAAGAGGTTTGTTGCAAAGACTGTAATGAAGTGCAAGGCATGGACCCAATGTAGCATCACAAGACATGATGTTAAATGATTAGAAACAACAGAATTGAGCACCTAGGCTCTGCACCTCCGCTGCTGCTACAGAATTCAGCGTTTGCCCAGCACAAGCAGCACAGCACACACCTCACCGGGCAATCAGACTAACGTTGCTGCAGAAGCTGCAACCTCAGCTGCTCCTGACTTCACTTCAGATTAACAAAAAACACTTGGCACTCACAGCTACAACTGCAGACAAGCCACTCGTTGCACTCTGTATGCAGCCCTTGCACGCTTTCCCAGCTCACGTGGGGCAGTCCACGTCCAGCGGGGATGTGGAAAGACCTGGTCATTTGGTCAGCAGTGGCAGATGCAGCAGCCGGCTGTCCGCTTATCCTTCTGGGATTTAGGAGAAAAGGGGACCCAGGAACAGCAAACAAAGGCTGATGGCAACAACAGAGCTGAAACTAGAGGGACCCACCGCTACACGCAAACTCCCTCATACAAAAGCTCTGTTCCTAGAAGGTCCCAATCACCCCAGTTCCCTCACTGATGCCTCAGGCCCCTGGGCATGCAACATGGGCACTTTCACTAGCTCCTGCTTCACAGCTTGCTTCAGTGACTCCAAAATTTCTCCTTCAAGCCCCAGTTCTGCCCCACCTGCCCAGATACCCACCTGTCATTTGCATCACCCAGATTCCTCCAGGCACCTTGAACACCTGCCTGCAATCTGCTTGCTGCCCACCTACCCAAAGCATTTCAAGCACCCAGAACCCACCCAAAGTGCCAAGTCCTGTGCAGATGCACCCCCATCCCCTACTACTACATCATGGCAGGGCCAGTGTCCTTACACTGCATTTTCTGGTCATCTACAGATTTGCAAACAAGCAAGCTATGTTGTGAGCTTGTTTTCAGATCTGCAAGTATCAGCATAAATGATAATGCAGAACTAAAAGTCCTTGACAGCAACGGACATTTGTTTTTTTTTTTTTATTTCAGTTTAACAGGCACTGTTAACAATGTTGGATGAGATGGAAACCGAATTGCCCTCCTGTAGTCAAGGGTGCAATGGAGAGAACAGTTTTCAAAATGGTATTACAAGAGGGCCTCCACGTCCTCTGTACACCACTAGGGTCGACGCAAACCACGCTGGAACCCAGTGGAAAAACCAAAAGTGCACCAACTGTGCCCCCAGCTCCTCCCATACAGGCAACTCCTTCTGCAGCAAAGGGACTCCTTGAGGAAAGGCACATTTCCCTTGGTGCTAGTTCCCTTCCAAGACCTCCCGCTGCAGAGAGGAAAGGCTGAACAAGACACAAGCAGAGAAAGTTGCTGCCCAACGGATACTTCAAGGTGCTGTCAGCACAGATAAGCTGTTACAAACCAAGATCATCTGCAGCTGCAGGAGGCAGGTTTTCTGCTCCACACTATCTTTCTGCCCATAATGTCAAAGCACTACAACTGTGGACAACGTTTAAGCTAAGATAGCTACTGGTCCCAGGAGCAAGTGGCTAGCCCTGCCAAGACAAGGGCATGGCCATTAAGTCCAACCTGCTATCTGGGTGGCACAGAAGACAGAAGGATTTGGGGGGTTTGTAAAGCTTGCAAAGCTTCACATTCCTGCGAGGTCAGCCTGATGACTCTGTTCCCTTTTCGCTCACTCGTTGCGTCCCCATTTAAAAAAATAAGAGGAGGAATAGAGGCGCTTCAGAGATTCATTTTCGGCATGTTTAAATCCTCAAAGGCGGTCTGTTAAAGCCAGACTTGAAAAAGCGCTAATTTTATAAAAACTAAAAGGGATCCCTCCAATGCGGGCTAAAAAAAGCGCAGGCAGGGATGGCATCCGTGTGTTTATACACACACACCAGAGACGGGAAAAGATTCGAGGCTGAGAGCGAGTGAAAAAACAGCAGAAAAGAAAGTGATGCCCCCACCTGAGGCAACTGACATGGGGGATTTAGCAGGCAAAGCCCCCGTCAGCGGGACACCCCACATGGGATGGTGGGACACAGAGAGTGCAATCTGGTGTGGGGAGCTGGACACCCAAAACCCTCCCACCAACACACACCCCATGCCAGAGATTTTTTTTTTATTTTTTGGCGCGGGGGGGAGGCACTAAAACACTGTGAGGGTGATCTCCCCCCCGACCTGACAGAGAGGGCAGTGCTCCTCCCTCCCTCCCCCTTTTTAGGGTCGGGGGGGTCCTTGCACCCCCCCACCCACCCCAAAAACCACTGAAGGGATAGGGGGAGCCCTACCCATCTCTATGGTAACGGCGAGGGGTGGGACAGCCCGAAGTGGGGAGAAGGGACCCTAAAATTAAGGGAAGGGCAACGAAGCTGAGGGGAAAGAGGGCTTGAGGGAGCAGCCTCCGGGGCCTCCGCGCCCAGCCGTGAGGCCCCGGGGGGCTGCCCGCCTGAGGGGAAGGGTCCGCCCGCCGTTACCTGGGCACGCAGCTCGGGCTGGAACCGTCAATCTCCCAGGTAGCGAAGAGGTTCATGGGCACGGGCCGCCCCAGGGCCCCGGTGCCGCCCGGGAAGCTGAGGCGGCTCCGTTCCGCCGCCGCCGCCATGGCTGCCGGCCTGGCGCGCGCCCACCGGGCCGCCGCCGCCGCCGCCGCCGCCGCCGCCGCCGCCCCGCCCCGGCGGGGGGGGCGTCACGTGCGAGGGGGCGGGGCTCGGCGGGGGGGCGGGGCAAAAAAATCACTGTCTGGGGCTCGGGTGGGCGGGGTCGCATGTGGGCGTGGCTACATGGGGGCGTGGCGTGGCGTTCGGCATGTGGGCGGTGCTTCGGCGCAGGGGGGCGTGTGCGTGCGCGCGGAGGGGGGCGTAGCCAGGGAGGGGAGCGCCCGGTTTCCATCCCCCGCTTGCGGCCCTGAAGCGGCGGCTCCGTGTTCCCGCCCGGGCGGTTTTACCGGGAGTACGGCCGGAAGCGCAACCGTAGGACCGGATGCCGACGGCGGCAGCTTCCGGGCGGCTCCGTGGCAGGGGCGGACGGCGGGAGGGAGGGAGCGAGCGGGCGCGGAGATGGTGCTGCTCACGATGATCGCCCGCGTGGCGGACGGGCTCCCCCTCGCCGCCTCCATGCAGGAGGACGAGCAGGTGTGTGGGGGGGGGATGTGTGTGTGGGGGGGGGGGGCCCCGGTGTGTCGGTGAGGAGCGGGCGGGGGAGGGAAGCGCCGGGCGGGTTTTTCACAAGCGTTTCCCGGGCGGTGGTCAGGGGTGGAGGGCGGCGAGCTGCCCCTGTGCTGCCTCTCCTCCTCCGCGGGCCGAGCCGCCGGCGTTTCCCCGGTGGCCGCCGCCCCCAGCAGCCTGTCCTCCCGCCCTCAGTCAGGCCGCGATCTGCAGCAGTACCAGAGCCAAGCGAAGCAGCTGTTCCGCAAGCTGAACGAGCAGTCCCCCACCAGGTGCACTCTCGAGGCGGGAGCCATGGCTTTCCAGTGAGTACCGGGAGGTGCCGGGGGGTGGGAACGGGCTTCTGCCGCCACGGAAACGAGCGTGGGCACTTCTGGGGCGGGGCGGGGGTTTGTTAGGAACCCGGGAGAGGGTGAGTTACCGAACGGGCTGCCCTGTTAGCCGCAGGGCAGTAGCTGCTCGAAGGGGACAGTGAGTTGTTCCTGCTTGGCACCGCTGTCTGGCACTTGTCTTTCAGACAGGTTCATGGCTCTGCCTTTGCCGAAAACAACGTAGGTTCTGTTCCTTTGAAGGTTTTTCTGTTTGTTTGCACTTTCTGCAGTGCATCTTCCATATCTCTTGTGTCTTCTCTTTTTTGAAAAAGAGATGTCCTTGATGAAAGCAGTCTGGGGCTACCACTGTGAGCTCCTCTCACACAAGGTTTTCCTCTGTGTGTATCCAATGAGAGCAAACCTTTTCGTGCTTTAGCTTCATGTGTTAGAAGCACATGGAGTGTCTCTGACTTTTTTTTTTAATAATTAATTCTTTAATGTCTGACAAACTTTTCTCTCATCTTGTAGATTCAGTCTGATTGTTCCCAAATGTGTTGGGTGTGTTTAATTCATTTCCTAAACTGTTGGGAAACTCTCAACTTAAAGCACTTTTGGCTTTTTTTTTTTTTTTTCACTAATGAGGGAACTTGAATGTAAAATAATGACAATTTACAGAATGCTCAGGTCAGACATCCTTACTCCTTAATCAATAGAAAGGGAACTGGAAAGGCAAGTAAACAGCGGAAGAATTGACAGTCGGCAAAAGGCAGGAGAGCAAGCTTATGTTTGATAAAGCAAATGCTTCTTTACATGGCTTGTAATTACCTAGCAGCATAATGCTTGAGAACTTAATCGAGCCCAAGCTCTTGTCAAGAATCAGCATTATGCTGTTCGCAGCAGTAGTGATGTTAGAAGTCTCTGAGATGGGGTGCCACGTGCGATCAGCGAGGTAGAGCCGCGCGGCTTTGCCAGCGCCGTGCCAGCATTTCCCACACTTGGCGCAGCAGCAGCGGGGACCCTCTGGTCACCGCCTGCCTGGTTACAGCTGGGTCGCTGTCTCTGGGCGCGAGGCAAGGCTGGCTTTAGGTCTCTGCTTCTGTAACAAGGGCCCTTTAGCAAATCTCTTGCCCTGCCCCTTTCTTCAGAGATTCAGCGACATGAAAAGACAGGAACGGGAGTTTTTTGAAAGGCAGTCTTTGACAAAAGCCGTGAAGTTTTGAGGCAACTTTCCTCGTGGTTGGCTTACATATAGTAACTGCGACAAGATTTTTTTTTTTTTTTAATCTTTTTTTCTGTTGACATTTGGTTGCCTTTGATAGGGAGTCATAGCAGTCAGAGGATGCTCTGATTAAAATAGTCCCTCCATCCCTATCTCCTGTCAGGTTTGGGTGTTGTTGCCAGAGTTAACTGCAAAGTGCTGCTGTGCCTCATTTTTCTTCTGGAAGATAAAACTTTCTAGAATTAAAAAACTCTCACATTTTAAATGTTACCACAGCACTGCACGGGTGTAGCTCTGGCAGTGATCCCATGTAGATCCTAGTAAATCCCTTCTTGCTCTGCTTCCATGATGCAAGCAGAGCGATGTCTGGGAAGGCTGTGCCACCTGCAGTGCCCGGGAAGTCAAAGCCTCTTAGCAATGGCAGTAATGTCACCAGTTCTGACAAGGCAGGAGGACTTGGGCAAGCTCGTGTTTTGACAAGTTGGCTGGCTGGCAGATAGGCAGGGAAAGGAGCATTTCTCCCTAGTTAGTCCCTAGGCGAGTTCCACAGGAATTGACAGCAGCTACTGCAGAGAACTCAACTGCTGCCTCTTTTAAGGAGGAACATTAAGGCAGGACCTTTATAGAAAGAATACTTTCAGATCTGAAAACCTCCTGTGATAACAGTGCAGGAAGGGGAAGAAATGGCGAAGTTTGAGATTTAGTCTAAAATAATGCTGACTGGTGACCCTGCTGCTTATTGACCCCGCACACCATTTTTTCTGCAAAATCAAAGCTCTGACTGCTGAGGGCAGCACAAACCAAAGTAGAGCATTTTGTGGTGCGAGCATAGTAAGTGTGGGAGTTGATGTTGAGCGTTTTTAGCTTGATCAATTTGGAGAAGAGCCTAGTCTTACTGAAACAGGAAGCTTAAACTATGACCGCTGAGGTGATTTCTGTCTGACTTCAGCTCCAAAAGCTGTGTCACCCTTTCAGCTACAGCACTCGGTGTACACGGCTTGTGCAGGTGCAGAAACACGTCTGCTGTGCTGTCAGGCAGTTGACCTTTGGCTGGTGAATGGCTGAAGTGGCTCTTACCTGTCGTGTTGAAAACAACCCTTGGCCTTTGCCACTGTTGCCACGATAAGGCCTTTTTCTCTCAAAATGTCCAAGATAATAAGAAACCTGGTGGCTGTGTAGTCAGTGTGCAGCAATCCGGAGTACAGGAGGTAGCAGTGGCAAACGGCGACGCCTGCCCCTTGTGCCCAAACCCTGCCCGAGCAGTCGGCGTGATCGGGTGCGGTGCCGAAGATCGGAAGCACGCACGGAGCGTAAAACCGAGAAGCCCAGCTGTGCAGGAGCTCTGCTCTGAGGTTGAACTGAGGTTGACAATATTGTCTGAACCCAGGACAGCATGAGGCGCAACTCACTGTCTGCGGTGGTGACAGATCAGCTTTAAATCCAACACATCTAATGTCACATCAGGAGAAAAGCAAGTGGGAAATACAGCCGAAGAGCTCCAGGCAGGACCGGCTGCCCTGAGCAGGCGTAACAGAGCCGTACCGACGGGGTGTGTTCCTCAGGCTGCTCTTGTCTGAGGGTGCTGCTCTGGCTCTTGAGAAATGCTGTCAGAATCCCTCTCCGATACAAGTTTTCCTTATTTTAAAAGATCTTTTTGAAGTTTTGCTGTTCACGACAGTGGCTAAATCGGGTTTCGGGTGATGATTTGTAGCAACTCCAAGCTGTCAGGTAGGTCTCCAAGCGTAAGGGAAGAAGAGAGACATGATGTACTGTAGGATTAGTCTTACGCACTGATGCAGTCCAAGCTGTGTGACATAAAGTGGAATAAAAGCATGGGCTTGTGGGGACACACTTGTACAATGGATTATAGTAACTGGAGTTTCTTGCTTCTGGTTGGGGTGTATCAGTTGTTATGTAAAGGCTGGTGGGATTTGCACACAGGCCATATAGAGGCAGGAGAAATGGATACTACTGAGCCCAGAAACAAGTTGAGGATGGTTAATTCAAAGCACTGGACCTGTTGGGGTGTCTGGAAAAACGGTGTGAGGGGGAAGTTGCGTTGCAAGCCTGATGCAGCTATTAACACAATTTTAAGCTGCTTATTTAACTACAGTACCCTCGTGACAGGATCAGTTCTTTAATACACTGTTAATCTTTATGCTAACTAGACCACTACATAATGGTATTATGCAGAAAGTCAAAAGAAGGAACATAAAAGTAGCATTTAAATTCCACCCTGAATTATATAGATAGTTCAGAAGCATATGCAGGGCTAGCTACTGTCTTTGTTCCCTTGGTTTTGGTGGAAATATGGTTGCCTTTATTTTTCTATTGGCTAGGTGAGGAGGAAAATGTAGTTGGGAATGTGTGGCAGCACACAGTTGTAGTGAACCCTAAATAATCTCAAGGCTGGTTCTGTTTTATCCTGTATTTCAGCAGGCTTTTTAGCTGAATTGTAATGAAAGGCTCCTGTTCTCAGTGCTGACAGAGGCAGTGGAGCTCACACTGAAACAGGGTCAGCACTAAACCTCTGTGAACAAATACAAATTAGATGCAATGGGGATGAGGTGGTGGGAGGAGGAGAAGAGGACCTCTCTGTGCATTCAGCTGCGGAACAAAAGAAACGACATTTCACAGCAAGGGCAGCTCCTGTTCCAACGTACATTTTGGAGCTCCAACTGAAGAGCTGGTAGCAGAGTCATCCTTACCCATGGCAAACCTGTAGGGAAAGTCACCAGAATCCATCTAGCACCAATATTTTCCCCCCATCTGCCTTTGAGGTCATGCACATCGATAGCAACACCCCACGAACAGGCAGATGTCGGAGGGAAGGAGATACCCAGCTCTCTAAAATGGAAAGCGAGAGCTGGCAATCACTGGATGGCTTTTTAGCA